TTCAGAAGCGTCCGAAGTAAATCTGCTTCAGTGGGTTCCTCGGCCTCCAGACCTTGCCCTCATCAAACATGTACGGAAATATTCTGCTGGCCTCATAGAGATAGATATACACCAAGAATAACCGAATCCAATCAATGCCGTGACGAGTTTAACAATGTGTAGCGAATAGAGGAGCTTTAACACGTTATTAACGTTATGGAAGCTATTTTTCGAAATTTCGAGTTAAAATTTAAATAACTTTCTATTTATCAGTAGACCTAAAACTTGTAAAAGTATTCTCAAAATTACAGCACTCCTAGCCGGTGTTGCCTTTTCTATGTGATTCAGTATGATACGTCTTGAGACTGATTACACTGGTGAACAAAATTAAAATAATTTTTTGAGACATGGACAAAACAAGGTGGTTATTATGTAAAACGTACGCAAAAAGCCACGGTTTTCTTGCAATAAGGCATTTTATTTGCTGCTTATACTCGTAAAATATAAGGATATGTGTGTAAGAGTACTAATAAACACTCGAATAAACATTAATCTCAGAATGTTGTTGTCGATGTTTTACGGCGATATGTTGCTCCTGAAGTATCTCTTAACAATGTCCAGCAATAATCAGCAAGCAAATTGACACTCCATTTGCCTTGATACCGTTTTTCCATAGCAGAAATGTTCATCACTTACCGCACCTAAATTTTCCGAAAAAAAAATCGAGATGGGAACCCAAAAAGTGATTTTTTTAGAGGCATGTTACGTCCCATTCCTTTATAAGCATTAATTAGTTCACTCAAAATATCTTTATAATTGTCCGCCTTCACATTGCCTAAAAAATTTTAAGTAACTGATTTAAAAGCATTCTAAGCTGGTAATTCAGTTTCACTTAGAGCACTGTCAAATACATCATCCTTCATGATTTTCCGTATTTGTGGATGCACAAATATGCCCTCTTTAATTTTTGCCTCACCAAGTCTCGGAAATGTTTGTTTTAAATGCAGAAGCCCTCTTCCGATTCAATCCATATCTTTCACAAACATTTTTCATCGGTCCCAACTTAATATGCAAACGTGGAAGCAACACTTTTTCTTATGAGTAGTGTTGTTTGGCTCATTATAAACAATTTTACGTTTAAGCTATGTTGAAAGATCACAAGCACGTTTCTAGAAAATCATCGAAATAGTCATTTATACAGGGTACGTCATCTATTACTTTTTTCTATTTGAAAAATCAACACGCTTTTTACGAGGTGAAATCGATTTTTTTTATTGACAAATGAAGGTTGGTTTATGCACTTTATGTATGAAAAATAACATCGGTCATGTGACCACCGTGGCTTCGTTTACAGGTCAACATCCGAACATCAAAATTTTCAATGGCTTTTCCCAGAATAATTGGCACGGGTATCATGTAAAAAACCTATAAAAAGTCATAAAAAAACCTATAAGATGTCAACTTGCAGACTAGGTAGTTTTTAGGGCGCCAACAGTCATTCCACGTTTGCTCACTAGGATCGTTCTGAACGTCCATCTATGGAGGAATCACTTAACTAAACTAAGCATTATTGGTTGCATAGTTTTGTGAGGCAGAATGATCCGGGTCTGCAGTTTTTATCTCTGAGAAGAAAGTTGGTTGAATAGCAAGATTGCATCTGGATGATTATGTGTATTGGTCTGCATGTGTATAAAATCAGTGATATTTGCTGTGTGAGAAAATCATTATTGAATATGCCGAATATGATAGGTTATTTATATGTAGTGCTTTCTGAAGAGAGGTTATGTTCAAAGTTATAAATTACGAAAAACTGAGGAGATTACGGGAAATCATCACTGCGTCCGCGTTGTGTGTAATTACTGTTAGCATGTATATGGCTTGTAATTTGACTGTGTACAGTGAATATAATTATTTCTTATCTCTCTCATTTTTGAAATTCAGCAAATTTGTATATGTAATTTCCAGAATGAATAAGAAAAAGTGGATGCGCAACTAATTTCTAGCTTTGAATCTCAATTAAGTGTAATTGAGACAGAGAATTGTGTAATTGAGACAAAAACAAAAAATCAACACATACAACTTACAGCTTAGACCTCCAGTAATGCCATCTTAGAAGCAGATTTTACATCACATCAAAGCCAAAGATTGATAACAAGACTCATGACGTTTAGGCAACACGTACAACTAAGTGCTAAGTTATCATCTTGTAGAATAACCTACATAATGTCAAAAAAACTCGGCATAATGTCACTTTTCAAGATACGTGATACCCGTGCCGGTCTATGGCTGCAATTTCAGTCCGAATATTGCGCTTTAGGCCTTGAATTGTCCGGGGATCATTCGCATACACTTTTCCTTTAAAAAATCCCCAAAGAAAATAATCAAGGGGTGTTAAATCGCACGATCTCGGGGCCAACAGACATCTGAATTTCGTGAAATTATGCGGTCTTGAAATTTCGTGTGCAATAAGGCGATTTGGGACCTCGGTTGGCCGCGTGGGTCAGAGTGTCGTGCTACTGATCAGCCGGCCGGCCGGGCCGCGAGTTCGAATCTCGTCTTCGCCATGGATGTTGTGACGTCGTGTGTTTGTCCATAATTAGATATATTCATGCATGGCTTAGTCCTAAAGCCAAAAAAAAAAAAGGCGATTGTTTGGCGAGATGTGTGAGCCGTTGCTCCATCTTGATGAAACCAAAGATCGTCGGCACCAATACGATCCAATTGTAGCCACAAAAAGTCTGTTAACATGCCGCGATAACGTTCCCCGTTGACGGTAATGGGTTTTTCTTCGGCATCTTCAAAGAAGAATGGTCCAAAGATGCCACCAGCCCATAATCTGCACCAAACAGTAAATTTTTCAGGATGGAGAGGTTGTTCATGATATTGGTGTGGATTTTCGGCCCCCCAGAATCTGCAATTTTGCTTATTTACGTACCCGTTGAGGTGAAAATGAGTCTCATCAGAAAAGAGCACTTTGGCCGAAAATCCGTCTTCACTTTCCAGCATCCAATTAACAAAAACACGCCGCTGTTGATGGTCTGCCTGCTTCAATTCTTGTGTTAGTTGAATTTTGTATGGATGGAGATGTAAGATCCGGCGTAAAGTGGTCCCACTAATTCCCAATTGTTGCGAACGATGCCTAGTCGAGGTGGTTGGATCTTCTCGCACACTTTCACTGATTGCGGCTATGTTTTCACGGGTACGAGCTGGACGAGCATGTTGGTATGTATGATCCAACGAATTCCAGGCTCTGTAGGGCGTCCATGTCGGCCAAAACTAGTGCGAAGTTTGCGAAAAGTATTTTTTATATTTCTACCGTTTTCGTAATAAGTTTGGATAACCAAAATGCGTTGTTATGTTGTAAACGAATCCATGACTATAAATCGCATACCTTTGACAGTTCATTTATACATTCCACATGACTTTTGACTCACATGGTAACACAAAAACTTATAGGTACAAAAAAAGTAATGGATGGTATTACACTTCTGAACGTGACCAAACCCATTCTTCAGTAATAAATAGCGAAATTCCCTCAATGACTAACGAGGTTAATAGAATTTGATAGATCATTAATTTATGTTTACTAAAAATAAAATTGGTCCAAGGACTGTCCCCTGTGGACCCACATACTAATCTTCACTTCTTTAGACACACGTCACCTATTTCAGCTGTTATAAATCCATATACAGGGTGTTTTCAAAGTTGAGTCATTTGCTTTAACAGCTGGTAGAACTCGTCAGAAAAAATTGATATACCAACAATCACTTAAACAAAAGCTGCATAAGAATACAGTTAGTTTACATTGTTAAATATTATTTAAAAAAAAATCATTATCAAGTACCGTTTTTACAAAAACTGTTTAAAATTGTCACCATTTGTTCGATTTACGCAAAATCTTACTCGACGAATCCACGACTCTTTACAAGCTTAGAAAATAAAATCCTGGTGACCAAGAATTAAATCGCAAGCATTTTCTATTAATTGTAGAAAAAAATCAAGTTAAATTTGACCGGCCAATCGAGTTGGAAAAAAGTAGGGTCCAATAAGCATGAATTTACCACCCCAGCCCAGGCATGTAATGAAAATCTATGTTGAAAATGATTTCTTTTAATAGTTTGCGGATTTTCTACTATCCAAATATGATTGTGCACTCCATATTGTGTAAATGTGGCCTCGTCTGTACACGAAATTAATTTCGTAAAATTATTTCTGCCGAACTGTTCTAACAGACACTGGCAAAATGCAACTGTACTAGGATGATCTTCGCTTGTACCCGTTGATAATGATAAGGACTGTTCTTGTCGTATTGTCTTGCACACTTTACTATCAGAAACTTCAACTTGAGCTGCTATGGATCTAGTACTCATTGTCGGGTCGTCTTCGACCGTTTCTAAAATCTCTTTCTCAATTTGTAACATTTCAAGTTGAGTATGTCTTGCAGCGTGACTTCCTCGTTGTTCTTTTAAATATCCTGTGTCACGAAGTCTAATAACTAAATTCACAAACATCCGTGGGGACGGATGATTTCTTAAAGGAAACATTTCCGCATACAACGTGCATGCTGCAGCTGCATTTTTGACACTCTCCGTTTGTCAATATTATGTCCTCTAGTTCATTGTTTTCGAAAACATGTGCCATTTTTTCGCACAAAATAATCATACAAATCAAAGTAGGTATACGCACTATTAAAAGACTGACAACTGATCGAACCAAAGACTCGTACTGAAAACCATCCAACACAAAAAGTTTGCCAAATTCAGATAAACGACAAGAGTAGCAAACGAAAAACGCTAAGAGTTTACACGGGCACTGGTCGAGAATATCAAAAAATCTGTGTAATAACTTTCTCAAATTTTTAAACTTTTACTATTTCTTTTATATAGGTGATTGACGTGTCCTCCAAGCAGTTAAAATAAATGAGTAAACTTTGAAAACACCCCGTATAGCTTTTTAGATATCTCTGCTGGCTTTATTCATCTGTAATTGAATAAACTGTTGATAACACTTGAGAATCTTACCAGGTGGTGAAAGTTAGACCTTGCTGTGAGCATCGATGCCTTACGCAACAACTCTCCCAATACACAGATGCATATACCCACACTTGATAACCAGTAGACTTGCTTCATTCCTGAAAACAATTAGAGCAATTTATACTAAGTGACATATAAATCCGAACACCCAGTTTAAATGGTTTTATTTTAATAAAATTTTGTATAAGTACTTAATGAAGCATAATAAGTAAATGATAAAAATTTCAAAATGATTGCACTGCTTTAAAGCCCTTTGACCTTTAATAATGTGTCGATGCACCCTTATGTGCTACGCATTTCTCCAACGCGCCTAGGCATGCTTCTGATCAGGTGGTCAATGTCCTCCTGTGGTATCTCATTCCAGGCAACCACCAACTCCTCTCGAAGTGCTTCTAGAGTCTGAGGAGGACGTTGCAAATTGAGCAATCTCCTACCCATCATATCCCACACATGCTCATTTGGGGATAAGTCGGGAGATCTTGGTGGCCATGGTAACAATGTGACATCATTATGTTGAAAGAAGTCTATTGTGACTCTTGCAACATGTGGTCGGGCATTATCTTGTTGGAAAGTTGGATCTGCCAGGGTGTCAAGATAGGGTAAAAGATGGGGTTCTAGAACTTCGTGGATATAACGCTGCGCGTTCATGTTACCTCTGATGAAGATTAAAGGTGACCTGGAACCATAAGCTGTAGCACCCCAAACCATAACTCCAACAGTGTGATGAACATGTCTTTCAACAAAAAACTGTGGATTCCTCCTTTCACCACGTCGCCTTCTAACCCTGGCACGACCATCAAACAAAATCGAGACTTGTCACTAAAGACAATACTGTTCCATTCCTGATCCCAGAGTGACCGTTGTCTGCACCACTCAAGGCGATTACGTCGGTGTTCTCGAGTTAAAGGGAGGACCCAGTGTGGTCGGTATGAAAACAAGCCAAAACTTCTCATTCGTCGGTAAACACTTCGCATGCCAATAGGTCTTCCGTGTTCTGCAAACCATTCATTTGCAATGGACCTGGTAGTGGAGAAACGGTCCCTTAAGGCCAATAATCTTAGGCGGCGATCTTCACGGTCTGTTGTTCTACGGCGGCTTCCAGTGCCCCTTGCTCTTTGCGTACGGCCTTCTCGAAGCCATGCCTGACAACACCTAACCACAGTGTCTACACTTCCTTGCACTCTAACTGCAATTGCCCGAAAAGAAAGTCCAGCTTCCCGTAGTCCCACTATACGGCCCCTATCAAACTCACTAAGTTGACGAAATCGTACAGGTCTCCGTACTCTAGGCATCGTAACCGATCGTAAAGGATGTCAAGAACCAAAATCCGCCAACGTTGATTCTTTACTGCGGCTGAAATAATCATTTTTAGAGCGTTAGTGAATTAAAAAACAGTAAGATAAATACATCCACCAACTTTTATTAAAATAAAACCATTTAAACTGGGCGTTCGGATGTATATGTCACTTAGTATATAAAGAATAAAAACTGGTCTGGAAGATATGTAATGATCATGATAAAGAATCATTCACCATTTTCTAGGTGAACTATTCCTATATCAATTTGATTCATTTTAATTCGTGTTTTACTTTGCACATCGATCAAGTACTACAAACCTAAATTCTCTCATAGCAGTACGGTATGATTTCCATATACAGTGAAATTCCCCTTCGCTAATACCCCTCCCGACCGACTCTAGTATAATTTTCATTGTATTAACTCTCTCTCTCTCTCTTGGACGGACATTCTCTCAAGCGGACGCGGACACGAGAAAATGTTCTAACTGGACAAAAAACAAAATGAAAAGACACGCCTTGTCTTATTTTTTTCTGCATTTTGTCAATCGTATCAGTATTAGTCTGACATCTGTGCGGAAAAGACACAATGGGCGACACATTCATTTTAGAAATGGCTCTAAATAGAAAAATTCTAACGCTTAAACAAGAAATTGAGATTGTTGAAAATCACAATAAGGAGAAGGAACTTATCCAAGCGTTTTAAAACTGAAAAAACACCAGCTGCAGATACAATTAACCTTAAAGAAAACCTTCTAAAGAAATGAAAGTCGAACAACAAATTGAATGAAAAAATAAGCTTTTTAACGGACCATGGTACCATAATTGACAAAGGGGACTTCGTTGACAGGGATGTATATATATTATTTTTTTAGATAAGGTTTTTTGTATTATTGCGTTGATTTTCTTTACATACTTACCAATCCTAAAATAGATAAAAATAGTGAGATTATGAATAGGTTTGTCGTGACATACGCAAAAGAAATAGACGATTCTCTGAAACATTCTACATTCACTGTTTCTTCTGGTTGGCTCAATAAATTTAAAATTCGCCACAATATGTTTTAAGGCGGGAGAAAGAGTTTCGGTTAATGCTGAAGATATGTTACATCGTTTTCGGAAAAAACTCCTTCTTTGATTAAGGGATATTCACTGAGAGACATCTATAATTCCGATACACATTAATATAAGAAAAATGTGTTGGAAGTAAGTATCCCAAAGATAGGGTAACTTGGAAATGCAAGAAGAAAGCTTGGATGACAAGACAAATTATGACAGAATGGTTGCAAGACCCATATTGGAACACTTAAGGCAAAAACACAGTGAAAGCTGGTTTCCTGCTTACCGGAGCGCCAATAAGCTTCTATATTAATATCATGCTCTTTAGTTGGCAATAACACAATAGAGGCAGGCTCAGGCTTGTCGGTGTTACCGGTTTTTCCGGAACAATTATTTAGTTCTTTCTCGCCGGTTCTCAGAGCAGGTTGATGTGGATCATGGATATAGACAAGTTCATCACATCAGTATACAAACAATGCCCCATATGGGATAAAAAAGTAAACAACACAGTAACAGAAATGTAGTTGACAAATGTTGGAAAGACATACTGAAAAAAGCGGTCACGGTCATCTTTCAACACATTGAACAAATCATGATATTTACTATAATGTACCCTCTCATGATTGAAGGGATGAATACCAACTTTCTTTCTAGAGATTATTTTTGTTACAAAGCTGTCCAACGCAACAAATTCAACTTCAGATGGGCTAGACCCCATGTTGACGTGAAGGCTATGCTGGAACTGACAAGAGGCAGGTTTTATTTGCTTTTTTCTCATCAGCACCTTGTAAATGACCAGCGCCCAAATTCGCTACCGATCGGCGGTGGTTGCCAGTAAGCAGGAAACCTGGTTCCACTGTGTTTTCATCCTTAAGCATGAAAATATGCAAAATGAAGACCAGTTAATTGATGATGATACACCTGACCCAGAAGATGACTTACCACTTAATGTACTTTCAGATATCCTCAAAAATAAGAATTTATTGAAATTTTGAGTTTATATGGTGGAGATCCAGATTCAGGCCAGGAAATTGAAAATGCCATTGGAATACAAGAACTTTCCAAACATTCTGATGTCGATGAGGTTCCAGCACCAACAGAAGCAATTCCAAATTATAGTAAAGCTATTACCCTGACCCAGCAGCTCAAAAGATTTGTCAAAAATCAGGGAGATACTTTGGAGCTTCTTTCTAAATTAGAAATATGATTTCAAGATGCCATTTTATAGATAAAGAGGAGAGAAACAACAATATATGAATTTTTGTGTCCTTCAAGTGGCTTTTTATTGTGTTGTTTTGTGTTACTACATTTATGTATGTACATTTATACATACATATTGTATTATACATATGTAGGTACATACTTTCTATATATCTAAATGTAACAAACCTTTTTTCCTTAAGTTTGAAGTTTTTTGCTTATTTTAAAAACATTCATATACATATAAGTCTTAAATGTCTCAGTTTGTTTAATATATTTCATTGAAAACACGATTTTTTATATATTATATGGACACCCCTCTTGGACATTACACTTTCAGTTGGTCCCATTAGTTCTCTTCAAAGGAGATTTCACTGTATGTGATTGACTTTAGCTTTCAAGATTAGGCAGATGCTGTTGATCTGAGCTTGTCTGAGATATGTTTAAAACTTTTTTTATGTGAATGTCTGTTTGCCTTACGTTCCTGTTTGTACTTTGTAAATACTTATGTTTGTTTTGTTTTTATTTTAATTATGTGAACTATGTACCTCCCCCTTAGGACAAGTCTTATGTCATTTTATGATCTACAAGACAATAAATGTATCTATCTATCTAATGAAATTTAAAAGACAACTCAGTATCCAGTATGTAGGCTGACTTCTGATTTCACACGATAGCTTTTGTTGTATTGCAAAGGGATGGTATCTGTACAGGTTGTGTTTTTGGGAAACAAATATTTTTAACTTACCAGGGAAAAAGTAGCACTCTAGAAAAAACTCTAGCCAGGATGTTATGGCGGCAATAACATATTGTGGGCTGTGGTTGATGACAAAAGAATCAGTTGACACTTGCTTTGGTTGAATTAAAGCAATAAAGAGGAATTCACTGAAGTGAAAGAAAGCCATTATGCACATGTAAGAACCAAATATTTTCACATTTGGAGGTGCTACTATTCTAACATAGAATCCAAGGGCAAAAACAGCTCCTAACAAAGCTGCTCTGATGCCAATCTAAAACATAATTGAGAATTAACTCAAAGTACTATCACTTGGAATTTTGTGTATTACTTGAAAGTTGTACCCTCTGTAAAGTAATCCTACAACAAAGCATAGTACTGCTGTAGCTGAGGAAATTGTCATCGCATTTTCGGTTAAACTAACGCAATTTAGGTAAATATTGCCAAATTCTATGGGCAAAAATACGAAGAAACCTAATAAGAATGTTTGAAGTGCAATTTTGGCTTCGGAACATAGCATTTTCATTATATATCATGCTACACTGCGTCACTTCTTGAAATCTTGCTTGGCAATACTTGTTTCTCAGATATTTCAAGATAAGTTTATAAAAATACAATTTGTACGTTCGTTCATGTTTACATCTTTCAGGTTATAGCCACAAAACAAAAAACATATACAATGAAAGACTGAAAGAACACTTACTCCACAAAATACATAAGACGAAGAAGTGGGAGCTGCACGTTAAACAAATGGCAACACCGTTGACGTTTTGTCAGATGGTTGCGCCGCCTACTTGACTGGAGATCTGGATGAACTATAGAAAGAATGCCGAGAATGCGCCTGGAATAAGGAATGCTAGGCATGTGCCGAGCTGCCGGGGATTTCGTTTGTTCATAATTTTAAATCTGCTGAAAATGATATTTTCTATATTGAAGGATTATTTCATGAACATATATTCAAAAAATATCCCCACAATGGTAATATCTCTTTCAACAATTTTACTGAGAAAAAGGTTCGGCATAATAAAATCCAACCCTAATAATTAGTAGTATTGTAAGTATTGTAAAACACAAGTGTCTCACTTCATTGTACCGCTTCTTGATAATTCTGAAACAATACAGAGATCACTAATGTAATTCATAATTCTTTGTAAATAAGCTAGTCACTTTTCATTAGTTTGCTCAGTTATATCCCTTCAATTTGTCGGCCTTTCATACTTATTACAACGGTGCCAACTACAAGGATTACAAAGAGGCTCAATCCAGACATGCAATTTTAGATAAATAATCTACCAAATACATCAGGCCGATATGTTAAGTTCACAGCCTACCTGTAGCACTTTACGACATGACAGAGTCTCCTGAACGTCTGCATCTCCCATAGACAATAGTCACAATACATTTAACGTACACCATTACAGGTACTGATAGTGTTGTTTTATATTTTATGCTCATTTTTTTACGAAACATCTCCAGAAACATCACCGTTGATAATCTCGATGTTAACTACAACAAACGCCATATTTCATATTTTTACATTCAGAGATTCAGATAGATAGACAGAGAATCCCGGCAGGGTTGCCAGGTTTTTCAGTCACGTTGGTCGTCAAGTTTTGATGAGAAAATCGCCAGAAATCGCCAATCCCAATTAACTAGTCTAGAGTCTAACCATGAAACTCCAGGTTAGAGATTGGAATGGATTTGCCGCCCGAGGATAAGGTGAAGTAGTGACTGGCCTAAGCGCCTAAGTAGCCTGCCTGTTGACGATAAGTGAAGAGTGGGATTGAGGGGGGTTGAGGGGGGTTAGGGTTAGGTATAATAATACTCCAAGAATCCATTGAAAAGCGGGGGGTAAGGATGGGGGGTTGCTAGACACGTGTAATATTAACGAAACGAATTTCGTTTACAGGGGGCGGATCCAGAGGTGGCGGGACTGCTGGCGAATGGTCTTGTGATATTGTGACAATGGGAAAACGGGAAGGAGGGTTAACTATTGAAAATTGAAGAACAGGGAGACAATAATTTTCTGCGTATTTACCTTTCCTCAGTGAACCTTGGGAGGGAGGTGGCACTCTCTCCTCTTATGGTTATCGTACAAAACTTATGGTATAATAATCGTACATCAAGCAACACTGTGTCAAAAGTGTTAGGGTGAGATGTCGTTGATATGCTCGGATCACACGACACCTTGACATGACATTTGACCATAAGCGTCATTGTGCTTAGAGAACAGAACTGCCGCTGATCCTCGTTTCATGTTTCATTATTCTCTTCTGGAAACCAAATTACTCTGACGGCTGGAGTTCATGTGTTCGAGAGAAGTGCCTATAGATGCATATGTTAGAAAGAAATAGAAGCCGGCTGGATAGCGAAGCTCGCACCACATTGCCTATCAACGCTGACGCTGCAATCTGCGCCTCGTTGCCATTATGTTACACCAGTCCCTTGAGTTAAGGTACATGTTGAAAACATGCGTTAGTTTGCTCTCTACGGATCTTGTACAGTCCAAGGCAAGGTTTCCACCTCCATGATTATAGATGAGCGATTTTGGTCAGCGCTCTTCAGCCGGCTTCTATCTCTTTCTAACGTGTCGATACACACTTCTCTCTCGTACAAATTGAGCTCAAGCCGTCAGACAAATTTGATTTTCCCTGTATACACATATCAGAAAAATTGATTACAAAGTAATTGGCGTCAGAAACGTTAAAAATTGCCAGATCTCGCCAGTTTGGTGGATACTGGGTGCCATTAAAGTAGCCAATCGCCAAGCTATCCATTTGAAGCCGTCACGTCACGAGATGCCGGTAATACAGCTATCTCGATTTTACCTGGAGAGGATTACAGAGAGGATGACCTTGGTGTTGCCAGTTCGCCCATAAGACGTTTCACCCCCCTGGCCTACTCAGTGCATTTCCGTACACGGAAGACGAAGTTTCTAACCTAAAAATATGGGATAAAATAAACGTTAATCTTGTTTAAAAGCGTACCAAGGCCGATTTAATACCAATAATCTCATTATTTATAAAGTTTTGTTAATGTTTTGTGTTCTTCTTCGTGTTTTGCAACTAGTTGTAGGTAAATATGAGTCTTTTTGGTTAGGATTTTACGGTCAAACGGACCATATTCGCACAAATTAAACTTATAATCACCGAACAGTACAAAGTAATAGCGAAAAAACAGCAAAGTAATACTTTCTTTTATTTGCAAAAAGTACTATAAAAAGTAAGGTTATTCGCACAAAAAAAGAAAAAAATAGTATCGTCTGTGTCACGACACGATTTTAAGTGTCTTTTAATAATGGCAGGCACTAACTCTTATTTATTCCCTAAGTCTTATCTTTGTTTTGCTACGCCTGTTCGAATGTCAAATACGGCCAGGAATTATTAGTGCTCGGCTTTGTTGGACGTTCAATAATTCCCTACTAATAGGGAGTTATTGAACCCTAATAATAACAGGGGCGGCTACATACTAACAACTTATAGAGATACCAGTAAAAATAAATTGATGATTATACATCAAAATTAGATCTTTTAAAGACTATTTACTAAGAATGAAAATAAAATATCGAACATTGAGATATTTTGATAATTTATAGTCAACATATATATCGAAGAGAATGCTGATCCTAAAAAAGATAGATGTGTACAAATTGTGTGATGTGGACTCTAAATGTTGTTTTTGGGCAATAACTCAGGGAGGTATTAGCACAATTTAGTGTGCAGCTTTTAGGATTTGTCCCCCCTGACTCTTGCTACCCAAGCTCTTTAGAAAGCTTTGGGGGCAGGTTCAATTTCAGAAAGAGTTATCTCTTGACGATAATCGTCAGCTGTGAGAAAAATTCCTGTAGGTAACCATGGACAACATTATTGTTCTAATAAAAAATAAATCTGTGAAATGTAGTAACATATCTATAGAATTCAATTTTTGACTTATGCAGGTGCAAACAAGGGCTGGGGAATGAAACCGTCTGGACCATAATAAAGATGTTAATACTGATTTGTTTTTAGAAAAATGCGTGAGATTTATATAATAAATATATATTTAGGTATTTGCAGTATATGCTTTTCTTCTGAAAGTTTCCATATTATTGAGTAGATATGAGTGATCTTATACAAAAAAGCACTTATTTGTCAAGATAGGGCAAAAATGTTAATAACATGTGCTGTTATAAGATCTCCGATATCTTACCAAATGTCTATACAGGGTGTAAGGAAAATAATATTCGCAACTTTAAGAGGTGATTCCTTGCATTATTCTAAGCAAAAAATTTTTTATATGACCTATGTCCGAAAATCAATGTTTCGGAGCAAAAAAATGCAAAACTTATTTCTTTCTAGCCATGAAATAAATTAATTTTGCACCTGAATAATTTAAATTCATATGCCTACTAGCGTAAAATGTATCAATACATCTATTTATTAATGAACTGTCTCTAACAAAATAATGTTCATGCCTATTAAATACAATTTTCCGAAGAAAAACAGACAAACAAAATCCCTCACACAACTGGCAACGTCGTACTCCACCTGCACTGCATGTATCATCGCGTGTTGTTGTGATTACTAATACATTTATCTGTAACTTTATGTGATTTACGGATGATTTTTTTTCTTCTTTCGGACATCGCTTCGTTTCAAATAAGTGACTGATAGTCGTGGGAATTGGTGGTGTGTATCGCCACGTACCGGTACGTTCTGTAATTGTTTTAAAGTAAATGTACTGTACTGAAAGCGTTATTGAATAAAAAATATTAGCCACAAAAAATTGCATAAAAGTATTCAATAATTCAAGGCATATTTTCAACAAAAATAACATACAATCGTAAACAATTCGATGAATCATTTGCGGTCGTCGTGCGCTCGTATCACGGTTGTGTTGCAGCGTTGCCAAATGTTTGAGAAAATGTAATTATTTACGACTCACTTTCCTCGAAAACGATTGATTTTCGGACATAAGTTATAGTCAACTTATTTGCTTGGGATAATGCAAGGAATCACCTCTTAAAGTTACGAATATTATTTCCTCAACACCCTGTACATAAAAGTATAACAATTTCGTATTTATATGTAGAGCTGGTAACGCTGCGAGACATAAATGCACAATCTGGCAATCCTCACAAAATGGCCGCTGGCAATGTCTTAAGTCAGTCGTGTTGCCCTTGAATGGCATGGAATTGAAGCTTCTTCAGTTCCAGTGTATATGTGGTGTATTATGTTTCGTGTGATCATAACCTATAAATTTTACTTCACGTTTTGTAACATTTTAGAAGAATTGTTTGGTTTATTTTTTAAAGTATATATTTGATTGTTGCCTGGTGATTATTTAATCTTCGGTTATGGTATTTACAACTGTGGTAAACTTCGTAAGATCTCGTGGACCAGACGAGTTCTGGAGGAAACGAAAAATTTTCAAACTAGCTGCTGTAAGTTAATTTTGGATTCTATTGGCCTTGAGTAAAGGAACTAATTTTTTTTTTGCAGCACTACATCGGTAGAAGAAGAAACTGTTACAGTATCACTATACGAAATGTACACAGAGCATTAGTTTATGCAACCAAGGGCAGAAAACTCAGAAAAGAGGATATGGCAAATGTAAGTTTGTTAGTTTTTATGCGAATTCCTGAGGTGTAAGGGCCGTAATGGGTTTCAATGCTGTAAGGTTTCTTACATTCCATCATCTTTTACCATAAAAAGGATAGGAGTAAAGTTACACTTAAACAAAGCAAGACACGATGTTGAAATAGGCTCAATTAATATAAGGTGGGCCAGAAAGGCGTACGATTCATGCACTATTGCGCGATGTCTATTTGGCTCTGAGTTCAGCTTAGATGATCTAAATCAGTGTCCTATTGAAGGTGTGATCAGGGTAAGAAAGTTTGAGTCTACAGGTTCAACACAACTAAAAACCTGCTGGGGATCCAAGGTCAATACGAACAGAGGAAACTGAAGGCGAAGTCCCGATATCCATATGGTGCCATCCCCAGTTATCATTCCTAAAATGATCAGTCGAGCTTGCCATGTCAAGACCATCTTTAAGGCATATTGCGGTAAAATATTTTAAATTCCACCCATTAAAAATTCAATTAGCACACAGATTGAAACCGAATGATCACAGCCTATGCTATGCTTTTGCAGAAACAATGTTAGAGCACTTTCAAAGTTTGATCAACATTCTCTTTTCTGATGAAGCTCATTTTCATTTGAGTGGATTTGTCAACAAGCAAAATTACCAGTACTGGGCTGGAGAAAATCCCAAATTAAAACACCAAAGACATTTGCTCCCCAGAGCCCAGATCTCACATCACTGGATTTTTTCTCTGGGGATATCTCAAGAGCCATGTTTGCGCTAATAATCTGATGACAATTGCCCAGCTCAAAAACAACACTTGCAATGAGATGTCCGCTATACCTTGAGCAATGGGCCAGCAAGCTTTCATGAATCTGATCTCTAGATTCACGGAGTGTGTACATCTTAATGGCTCACATCTCAATGACGTTATTTTAAAAAAAATTCCAAATTTCCATGTGCTTACTTTATTAATATATATGTGTATATATCATATTTATGCTTTGAGGGTTTTTTCTATGATTTTTCAAAATCCACTCAACTGAATGGCCCACCCTGTACATAAAGACCACCCAAAACAAGGTTCACAAATCATTGAACTACTCTGCAGCTAAATTATATAATATTGGAACCTAATGAACTGTTGCTGCTTAAATATTGGGACATTACTGGAAAAAATTAAAAGATTGAAAGTAACTAAAACTGCAACATGCAGAATGACATAAATACTATTTATTATTATTATATACTAAGTGACATATCAAATGCAAGTCCAAGAATTATTTATTGAATTTCAATGAAAACTTGTAAACATATTTGCTATCATGAGAGTATACACTGATAAAATGTTGAAGGCATTCCGAGCCATACATTTTTTTGTAATTTTTGTAATGGTTTTTTTTGTCATATGAGGGATGTCTTTTAAGTTTTGCATATGGAAATAAAACAACACGGTGGGTAGTTTTAAATGACTTTAATGTTTTTCGAAGTATTCTCCATGAAGATTAAAACATGCGCTCGAACCAATTATCGAAGCACTTATTCCACTCGTTTGCTGGCAGATCCAAAACGGCATTTTTGAATGTGTCAACTGCTTCTTCTGGTGACTGGAACCTTAGACCACGCAGTCTGTTTTTCATTTTCGGGAAAGTAAAGAAATCGTTAGGACTTAGATCGGGACTCAATCAAGGATGGTCCAATAATTCCACGTTTTCTTACGTTAAATACTGCCTTGTTTTTTGGACTGTGTGCCAGCTTGCATTGTCTTGGTGGAGGATGATTCTTCTTTCGGGGTTGATTTTTCGAAGCTCGGTGATGACTTTTGGCAAACAAATGGTGGTATACCAATCCGCAGTAACAGTTCTTTGCTCATTAAGAGGAATTGTTGCAATATGACCCGCTTTTGTCACAAATGTCGCGATCATCTTTTTCGAAACACTTCGTGAACGGATGACTTTTCATGGCTTTTCTTCACCTTGGAACACCCAAACAGCCGACTATCGTTTATTTTCTGGTTCATAACAGTAAATCCACGATTCATCAGCACAAACAATGCTGTACACATTTTTTGAGTTTCCGGAATTGAAACGGTCAAGCGTTTTTTGACACCAATTAACCCTGGCTGCTTTCTGCTCTTCAGTACAACGAGAAACTAATTTTCTTACTCCTAATTCTTCATGTAAAATTTTTTGAATTGAGGTCTTTGAGATCTTTAAAGACGCCTCAATCTCGCGATATGTCACATGTCTATCTTGATGAGTTTGCGCACAGCATCGACGTTTTCCTGGGTGACTGCCGTTTTTGGTGCACCCACCCTGGGATCGTCGCTAAGACTCACCCGTCCACGTCTGAATTCTCTATACCAACGGGAAATTGTCAACTGATGTGGCGCTTCGTTGCCTAAAACAGACATTAACTCAGCAAGGCATTCTTGTTGCGATAATTGTCTCTGAAAGTTGTAAGAAATTATGGCGCGAAAATGTTCTCGGTTGAGTTCCATTCTTCTAATGACTTGGTGACACTTAAAAATTCACTGTAGTGAGAACACTGCATGTATTGTTGTGAAACTTTGAATTTAAGTTCACTAAAGAGTGAGGTCAAGATTCAGTACTGACGTTCAATCCGCGCGGCCTAGTATGTTTCTATAGGTATGCAAAACTTAAAAGACATCTCTCGTAGCAGGATCCGAACAATATGAACACGTTTACTTAATATTCAGTGATTTTTCTGTGTTGGTTCCATTTGTTTCATTGTGGTCTCATTGCATTGTAATGCCTAGAGTTCGCAGACGTGCTAATTTCACTCAACTTTTATTGAGTTGAGTTGAGATTTTCTCTTAGAGAAATCGCTAATCGGGTGAATCGTCACGTAGCTACTATAATGTGTTCGAGCGTGGTTCCAAGAAGGCTGAAATCGACGAGTTAGAGGTACTGGACATCAAAGTGAGACTACAGAGCGACATGATCGTTATTTGAGGCATCTAGCACTTAGAGATTGATTTTCCACAACATGTGTAGTTGGGAACCAGTATTTTATGCTTGAGGACAGTTTATCGCCGAATAAGGTCTTTTGGACTGTTTTCACACCGTCCCCATTTTGTGCTACCTCTGTCCTCACATCATCTTCAGCAACGATTGGTATGGAGTAGGGAGAGACTTGAATGGAATATGGAATGGAACTCAGTCGTGTTCAGCGACGAGTCCAGATTCTGTTTGGACACACATGATGGCCGAGTAAGAGTAAGGATGAGGTGAGGTGAAAGACGTCCAATATTCCATCGAACGGCATACTCAACGCTCTATGGGTGTTAGGGTATGTGGTGCCATTGCGTACGGCAGCAGGTCACGATTAGAGTCCATTCGAGGTAGCATGACTGCCCTGCTCTATATCCACGAAGTTTTACAGCCACATCTGCTTCCTTTTTTGGAAACATTTCAAGATCTACTTTTTCAGCAGAAAAAGCATCTGGAGTAAATCTGCTTTAGTGGCCTCCTCGATCTCAAGATGTTTCCCTCATCGAACATGATGGAAAGAAGGTTACAAAATTCATCGCACCCTCCACAAACAGTGGAGGCTCTATGAAACCAAATTCAGATGGCCTGGGATATAATACACCAAGAAGACATCAATCACCTAATCCAATCAATGCCGCGACGACTTAACGAATGTGTAGCGAACACATTAACATTAAGTTGGGATATCTCAGCTATTTTGGGAAATTTCGAGTAAAAATTTGAACCACTTTCTACAGCACTCCTAGTCGATGTTGCATTTTCTATGTCATTTAGTATATTCATTATGCATCATACAGGGTGTAATCTCATTCTCGATCGAAATAAGTAAAAATATATAGGTTGTCCCATTTAATAATCGAAAGTTCGACTCGTTTCCGGTCAAACCGGAAGGAGTCAAAGCAAGTGAATATGTCAAAAAATGTAAATTCATTTAAAAGTTATAGGGGTGAGCCACCTTTGAGAATCACGCGGTATAATGGTATAGTGTAATATTTAATCATAACCTTTGTTACATAATAGGGATAGTTACATTGGACATTGTCCGATTACTATTACATATTTAATAAAAAAATAAATAAATTTGTGATGACAGAAGTTATTCGTAAAAACCTGTTGATCAGCTCTTAGGACCCTACGCGGGATATGCGATTTAGTTTTTTAGTTAGATTGAAATTCAACTTTGTCTTAACATCATTAACCTGCGAGCCTTAGTAAGAGAATGCTTCCGCCAATCTTCACAGAAATATGAATATTTTGCATAATCCTTTTTTTTTGGGAAATTTAAAAATGTTCCTCTGCACGAACTAGAACTGAAATGTTGTCCATAGAACGTTATTTTTTAGCAAAAAATATTTGAAAAAAGTATTTGTCGCGATTTATTCAAAAAAGTTATGACTTGCTGTTATGATGGAACAATGGATAAAATAAATAAAACCAAAGTTATATTGTATTGTGAAGAAAATAAACAAATACAATAATTTCAGTTATGGGAAACCAGAATAAAAGCAGGATGTGAGCAACATGATATTCCATATGAAACATTGAGGGAAGGACTGACAAGATGTGACATACTAGTGAATCGTAAGACACTTTCTGAGTTGGCATGCTGGGAGCCATATACATTCAAGGCACTAACAGATGTGGCTCGTAGGAGGGCTTTAGATGATGGTTTGAAGGGGGTTACAAATGAAAATGACATAGACAGGATAATTACCAGAGGAAGTTTAAATAAAGCATAATTTGTATTGAACTTTTGTTACCTTGTTTAGTAGATATATTTCTTAGTTATTATTATATTTTAACCTGCTCAGTAATTTGTGCTGAATAATAAAAAACAAATGGCACGTGTCGTATTTGAATACAGCTGTATACTTGGTTTTATTATCTTATTCTTGAGCTAGGATAGTTATTTCAGTGTGCTTAAATGTTGAATGGAACAGTTTGGAAATCAAACATTTTTAATACAAATCTTAGCAGACTTGTTCTGGATACAAATGGCTCACTAAGATATATGTTTTTATTATACATCACGTGGTGATGGCGGAGCCACAAAATCTAAAAATTTGCCATCTTCTTAAACCCTTTTATCCCTTGATTGAACCTACCTGAGCTCTTACTGAGTGTGAGGACGTCCAACCATCCCAGCACAAATTGGAAGTAGACTGTTCAGTTGTAAGAATTTTCTACTAGGATGTACTCAATCCCCAATAAATATACAGGCTATTACAATATTATTATTATTTTGTTTATTGTCCAACTGCTCAATAAATCATTTAAAAGAACTGTATGTACCGAGTTTTATATTTTTTTTCTATATTTATCACAACAAAGAAGTAAGAGTAAATAAATAAGTAGCTTGGACCTCTTTGTCGCAAGTTTCTATTCGCATCATCAACATTTCTCTTTTTTTAAAAAAACCCGCCAACCATCATTTAAGACAGATTTTTTACAGACAACCCTATATAATCGTGTTCGCAATGAACATGGGCTTATTTTGATATAAGTTGTATTTATTAAACAGATGGCTGAAAGTAACTACATAGTATCAACATACGTGATTATTCCTACCAACCCATTAGATAGGTCAGGAAAAAAATAGACAACTCAACCTTTGCATATTCTTCTTCCTACTTTGGGCTGGATTAAATTTATTCGTTAAGTTCAATAGTGCAATGTTTAATAAAAAGTGATTTTTCAATTTTTAATCAACCATAGTCTCACCAAGAATTTTTTAGACAACCCACTCGCAATATACCGACAATGAAAATTGGCAATGCTTTATTTTTTGGCAAATAAAGATAACGCTCCATGTAGTACATGTTTAGTTATCATTAAGAGGCATTTCTGGAAAGCTGAATGGGTTTACCGGAAGTGACATTAACTTTCGTTTTTCAAATGGAAACTTGTATGTTTTCTTCCATAATCATACTCTATGCAAAATTCCCTTTCCAACGTGACTTTTTCGTTTTAATGGCGGCGCTATAAAGGAATTTGTGATTAACCTAAAATCCGCCATATTGGTTACAAGACAAAAAAAATTTTAAACTGTCAATGTGGCATGATCAACAAATGGCTATTAAAACAGGCTAAATAAATGAAACCTTGTAATTATGTTTTCCATGTTAGTATACTTCTTGGAAAAAAAAATTAATCCACATCTTCAACACAGGATTTCGGATAGATTTTAAATAGGACCCTGTATACTTTTTTCGAAATATTATTCCACGTAAAGTTCTCTATTCAATGATGTAACAAGAATTACTTTTGTTGTCAAATGTATGTGATATTTACATCAGCGGAATCCATGTTTCTTCAAAATCTGCCTAGCTGACTCACGATTTACATTAATTTGTTGCTTGTTCCAGTTGCCTTTCAGATACCGATGGGTCAAAGTGAACATATGCCAAAAAATTTATCTCCGCTTCTTTACTTACTACGAAAGAGTTCTCTTCATCACCATTTCTAAACTCTACCTCTAACTTGAAAAATTATGAATAACTTGGATGTCTTCTTCTATTAGGATATCGCTGAGCGTACAAAGTACAAGCATTTCTAGAATTTTTTCTGCATTCACCGAACATTAATAGCACATCAACTTGCTCGTTTCTTGTAGAACTCAGTAAAAAATACTGTAGGTTTACCTTTTATGCAATAGGAATAAGCGAAAATAAATTTAAATGAAACGAAGATTGCCAAACGTCAAATAATTAAACAATAATGGGTACGTTATGAATTGACTTTCATTTGCTGTTCCACAGCCCACCATTCTTTTCAAATAAATGCTATTTGAAAACATCCCAAATTTTCATAGACTCCTTACCTTCTTGCGGCGATTGGTAGCTTCTATGAAATAGTTGTAATTTTAATTCGTTACTTAACCGATAGTAGCTTGCAGAACATCATTGGAAATGCGTTTCCATTCAGAGCCAAGAATAAAAAACTACTTTTTGTTTTGTAATTCCTATGGAGGTTAATTCACAAATTCTTTTATAAAGCTGTCATTTGACAACAAAAGTAATACTTGTTCTATATCATTGAATAGAGAACTTTACGTAGAATAAGATTTCTGAAAAAGGTATACAGGGTCCTATTTAAAATCTTTCCGACATCCTGTGTTGAAGATGTGGATTCCTGACTTTTTTTCAAATAAGTATACTAGCATGAAAAATATAATTAAAAGCTTTCGTTTATTTAGCCCGTTTTAATGACGGCGCTATAAAGGAATTTGTTAATAACCTAAAATCCGCCATATTGCTTGCAAGACAAAAAAATATTTCAAACTGTCAAGGTGGCGTGATCAACAAATGTCTATTAAAACGAAAATTTCACTTGTGACACATCGTAGGAAAGTAAATTTTGCATAGAGTATGATTATGGAAGAAAATATACAGATTTCCATTTGAAAAAGGAAAGTCAATGTCACTTCCGGTCAAATCGGAAAGGAGAGATAACCCATTCAACTTTTGAGAAATGCCTCTTAATGACTAACCAAACATGTCCAAATCTTGGAACGATATCTTTAGTTGCCAAAAAATACAGTGTGTTTCGGTATTTTTTAACATACTAAGTTTGATATAAAATTCTTTTCGCTCATTAAATATATGGGTGAAGGCCACTTTTAATTCGGATCTTAGACTATTACGGTTGACTACACATTACAAGTATATATTAGGTAATGTTCAGGTTAGGACGTTAGTTTTAACCTCCTTCTGCAAATGCTAACAGAGCGAAACACATCTCAGATGTTTAACAAACCGGTTTTGCGAATGGTAAAACTATGTAGTGGTCACAGTTGTTGCGCCATATTTGTTCACAAATCAAAAACGATGTTTGTGTTATTTCAATGACATATTTACGTTTTGAATAGAAAGAAAAACGTATTTCAATAAAGTTATAATTGATAACTATTAGACAAAACTGAAGCCTGATATGTGACAATGCAACAATAAGATTTCTTTCAATCATTTAACTTAAACATTCAAAGTAGATTGGTTGGTTTAAGTGTGAGCGCTTTTCAGGTTATTTGCATTGGTGTATTAAATAATAATACATACTATTCACATCGAATTTATTTTTAATAAAGTCACCAGCAAACCATTATGTGGTAGGCATATTATACCATGCGTTTTACCTTGAAAATATCTTGTAGACCTAATAAATTTTTATTGCAATTAGGGATACTTGTATAGGCTAGTAGATACGTCCAATCATGTGAACATAAAATGATGATCTTTTTATAGCATTATCAGTAGCAAAATGTAATTCTGTTTTTAATTTTTACAGTAAAATAATGGAATTATCGAAAATTGTACTGCGAGTTTTTATTTGGTATACAAGCTGGCTGATCCATGACCAATAATGATGATACCATTCTTTATTCCTTTGTTGGTAACTACTATTACAGGAATACTCATCTCGTAAATTCATTTTTACTTCCTTTAAATCTTCGACGAAATGTTAGAGTTGTGCTCAGTTCATAATTTTGTTCATTGCAACATTGCACTGTCTGCTATTTCTCTTTGTACATATGTAAGGGTGTTCTTCTGTTGGGCAGATTAGCTTGTTGCCATCGATATCAACTGTTTTTCTTCCGTATGACGTCCCCATCAGTGAGTTCCATAGGTCTGTAGCAGCTGTCGGAATCAGACAAGACATATTCAGTGTATTATACTTACAAGATAACACCGCAGACACTTTGTGATGATAATAATAATAATCCGGATTTATTGACACAAAATATAAAGAGGCGAAGTGTCGCTGGCGACGTGGTCCAAATCGATGAATCGAAGCTTAGTAAGCGCAATTATAACCAAGGTCCTAACTTCAAAGGCCACTGGGTAGTAGGTATGACCGAAAAGTCGGGAAAGGAAAATGTCAGGACAGTAAGAGTTGTCGGTGATGAATGTCGATTCGCTTGTTCCCGTAATCCAAAAATATGCTTGAAAGACTCTTCAAAAGGAGCTGATATGTCAAAAATAGTAGAAAATTATTTCACAAAGTTTTTGAAATTCTCGACCACTGCTGAGTAAAATCTTAGCGATTCTTGTTTACTACTCTCATCATTTAGCTAAATTTGGCAAACTTTTTGTTTTATTGTATGGTTTTCAGTACGAGTTTTTGGTTCGATCACTTGTATGTCTTTCAATAGTGCGTATACTTTCATTTGTCTGATTATTTTGTGCGAAAAAATGGCCATTGTTTTTGAAAACCATGAACTAGTGGACATAATACTAACATACAGAGAGTGCCAACAAAATGCAGCCGCAGCATGCAGGTTGTATCGGGAAAGGTTTCCTTGAAGAAATCATCCGGCCCCACGGATGTTTGTAGATCTTGTTAGACTTCGTGATACAGGATATTTAAAAGAACAGCGAGGAGGCCACGCTGGAAGACCAGCACGGGTATCACGTATCTTGAAAAGTGACATTATGCCGATTTTTTGTGACATTATGTAGGTAATCCTACAAGATGTTAACTTAGCACTTAGTTGTACGTGTTGTCTAAACCTCATGAGGCTTGTTATCAATCTTTGGCTCTGATGTGATGTAAAATCTGCTTCTGAGATGGCATTACTGTAGGTCTAAGCTGTAAGTTGTATGTGTTGATGATAATTACATTGGGTTCTTATCTCAAATACACTTAATTGAGATTCAAAGCTAGAAATTAGTTGCGCATCCATTTTTTCTTATCCATTCTGGAAATTACATATACAAATCTGCTGAATTTCAAAAATGAAAGAGATAAGAAATAATTATATTCACTCTACACTGTCGAATTACAAGCCATATACATGCTAACAGTAAATAAACACAACGCGGTCGCGGTGATGATTTCCCCTAATTCTCCTCAGTTTTTCGTAATTTATAACTTTGAACATAACCTCTCTTCAGAAAGCACAACATATAAATAACTCGTCATATTCGGTATATTCAGTAAAGGTTCTCTCACACAGCAAATATCACTGATTTTGTACACATGCAGACCAATACACATAATCATCCAGATGCGATCTTGCTATTCAACCAACTTTCTTCTCAGAGATAAAAACTACCCGGATCACTCAGCCTCACAAAACTATGCAACCAATAATGCGTAGTTTAGTTGAGTGATTCCTCCATAGATGGACGTTCACAACGATCCTAGTGAGCAAACGTGGAATGACTGTTTACGCCCTAAAAACTAGTCTGCAAGTTGACATCTTGTAGGTTTTTTTTTGACGTTTTATAGGTTTTTTACAGGATACCCGTGCTGTTCAAGCTGAAATGTTACAAAGAGAGGAAGACCATTTTAGAAATGGTGGAAGAATACCCAACAATGAGTACTTACTAGTAGCTCAAGTTGAAGTTTCTCATAGTAAAGTGTGCAAGACAATACGACAAGAACAGCACCATTACACTAGTTTACACTCCTCAAACATGTTTGGTATCTGGGTAGCCCGACCTGACAGACTAACAGACCGACGAGACTTTTAACTAAGAGCAGAGGTCCACCGGACCGCTCTGACGAATAATGACGAATAGTACTAGTTTACACGAAAAATTTACCTCGACAAACATGTGTTTTTTGGGACTAATTTGAGGTCACTGAAAACGAAAATGACTCTCATTTATTTTTCCAAAGAACCCTTTACGAGATTTTTGCAAAAAACGTGTTTTTTGTGCCATAGTGTGGTTATTACCTGAAATCTCGGAAACGGTAGGTGTCATTTTTTGGACGCGTGTAACTTTTAAAAGCCACACATATTCCCTTCACGTCAATATATAAGGTATTTTTGAAGCATTTTTGAAAATTATCACAGTTTATTCAGTTTTTTCGGGGCAAAAGCTTTTTTATACTAACATAAATTATGTAAGCTTAACGAAATTTCGTCACCTATATAACAAGTCCAAGTTTGTCTGAATCGGACAAGAAATGTGGAAGTTATGACGCGTAATGTGAATACATACGATTTTATAGTATGTGACACAGTTACATTTATTGTCTAAAATACGCTTTCACTCTGAAACTTTTTCTCTTATGTTGCATGGAATCTTAACGAAGTTGTATCCAGCAATAGTCGCTCATCATGCCTTGATCCCAAAAGCCCTTATAAAGCTTTTCAATCGCAGGATGTTCACCACTTTCATTACCCAAATTCGGAGGGAAAAAATCCAAATTACTGAGAAGTAGGTACATTTTCAAAGACATGCGAGAAGCATAAAAAAGTTGAATGTTATTTTTTTATAATTTTTAAGTAAATTAATATGATTAATATATTTTGAAGTATGTACTTATTTCAATACTAACCAATAGCACTGAAGTTTTTCATCATTGTATGAATTAATTGACGGTCGTTCTTGCTCCTGTTGTTTGCCAAGAATCCATGAACAACTCTCCAAGCATACATAACAATAAATAATTTTTTAATCTGTGGACCGACGAATATGTATACCTGCTTTGATTTTCTCTGTTGTCAGTTTTGGAAACTTGGTTTTCAAGTATTTTAGAACTGTGTTTTTCGGATTTTTCGCCAAATCTCGATATGCTTAGATAATTTATGTTAGCTGAAAAACATTCCTTGGTCCCAAAGCAAGTTGATAAACCCCGATCATTAAAAAAAGCTTCCAAAATGCCCTTTTTTCAAATTTCAATAACTATTTTGGGAACACTACGAATTCGATTGACACAAATGACACATATCATATAGCGTAAAGGGAGTATGTGTGTGTATTTCAAAAATAACACACTTAAAAAAAATCACGCGCACCGTTTCTGAGATTTCAGGTTATAACTGCACCAGGGTACAAAAATCTCAAGAACGGTTCTTTGGAAAAATAAATAAGAGTCATTTTCGTTTTCAACGACCTCAAATTAGTCTAAAAAACATATTTTTGTCGAGGCACATTTTTGAAATCATAGTGTTATCAACGAAATTAATTTTGCGTACAGACGAGGCCACATTTACACTTAAATGGAGTGCACAATTTCCACAACAATCATGTTTGGGCTCTAGAAAATCCGCATGCTGCAAAAAGAACTCATTTTCAACATAGATTTTCATTAAATGTTTGGGCTGGCGTGGTAAATGGCTCTACTTTTTTCCACTTCGACTGACCGCTGAAATTTATTTAAATTTTCTTCGACACAATCTGCCACAATGATTAGAAGATGTTCATCTAAATGTGAGACAACAGAATATGTGGTTCCTGCGTGATGGGGCTCCACCACATTTCTTATAAAAACGGTATCCATTTAACTGGATAATGATATTTTGTTAAATAAATTTTAATAACGTAAACTAACTATCCTATTATGCAACTTTTATATAGGTGACTTTTGGTATATCGACTTCTTTTGGCGAGTTCTACAAGCTGATAAAATAATTGACTCAACTTTGAAAACACCCTGTATATTCTAATTTGCTGCAGTATAATCAATACATTGCATTTTCAATGTAGCAGTACTAAAAACACTAGACAAATACAACCTTCACTCAATCTCAAGAAGTTGGATGCCCTAGTCGCGGAAAAAACGACAGGACGTGAACATTTTAATGAATATTTTTTATTCTTCGCTCATTCTGAACAAACTCATTTTAAAAATGTATAAGTTGTCATGTAACTATGAATCACCTTGTTGGAGAGCAGCGTATTTTCGAAGTTAGGAGTGTGTAGTTTCCTGCAATTTCTATACCTAATTTTTTTGAGTATTTAAAATATCGAAACTCAGACCGCTTAAACATTAAAAACTCGTCGAGAATGTAGAAGCATCCTAGATGAGGAGTCGTTAGAAGTATCAGGATTGGTTGCGGTGTTTCAATAGTGTTTACAATGAAGATGGAATGGATTGAGGATATCGCAGACAAGGGATATATTTCTCTGATTATTGGAATTACCAAAAATACGAATTTGTTTTAAACCTTTTCCATAAATGAATAGTTATCAATATTTCGTAGCTTCTTTTTGAACAAACATATTCCTTTTTATTATTGGTTCACACAAACTACACCAGATCATATAATAATAATAATAATAATAATAATAATGTTTATTGTCACAAAATACAAGTAAATATCAAATATTGTGCACAATAAACATAAAGCACCCAAAAAAAGTTTGCACTTGTGTTTGGGTTTGTACAAAATAAAAACTAATAGTACAGTCAGTGTATGAAAAAAAAAAGAAAAAACCCGTTAATACTGTATAATTTGGTGAATTATTATGGTAATGTCAGGAAAAATATCCAGACAATTAGAACTGAAGTAAAAGTATGGATGTTAGTGTAAGTAAAATATTATTGATTTTGATAATGATTTTTCAGATCTACAATTTCGTGGATGGAGTACCTTGGTTGTTGTAAAATCCATTTTTTTAGTTGTTTTTTAAATGATTTATTTGATTTAATTACTTTTAATGACTCTGGTATGAAGTTATAGAATTTTAGTACCAAGAAAAACAGAGATCGTTGTGTAATGGTTTTTGATGTTTGTGGAATACACATTGAATTTTGATTGAATCTTGTTGGGTAGTTATGAATGGTACGATTAAAGTATTTTGAATATTTGAAATAATGTATTAGACCACAATAAAAATAAATTTGTCTGCAATCTAATAGCTGAGCCTCCACATATAGAAAATCACTTGAATAAGTAATCTCCCTATGGAGGATCAATTTTAGAATTAATTTTTGGATTACCTCAACCTTTTTGTAATTATTATTCATAACTCCCCCCCAAGCCAAAATTCCGTAAAGTAATAGAGCATAAACAAGAGCATAATATAGATTATATAGATATTTCTTATCTAGAATATCTCTGAAGTACCTGAATTTTGGAATAATACATCTCAGTCTCTTCACAAGGTACTCTGTATGGGTATCCCATTTTAAGTGTTTGTCCAAAATCACGCCTAAGTATTTTATTTTATCGGCTGACTGAATCTCGTTGAGACTACGCTTGTATGAATTTCAAGTTTTTTAAATTGCGGTGAGAGCCTGTCGATGCTATATAGTGTGTTTTGTTGTAATTAATTGTCAAAGTTCTTTCCGAAAAGAAATTTATAAATGTTTTGAAATCATGTTCGATTGTGGTTTTTAGTGTATGCCACTGGTTGCTTTCATAGAGAATAGCTGTATCATCCGCAAAACCGATAACTTTACCTGTACTATTTATTTTGAACAAATCGTTGATAAATAGATTATAATGGGTCCTAATACTGAGCCTTGAGGTACACCGTGTGATATAATTTGGGGTTCACTGAATGTGTTATTAATTTTGACGCACTGTGTTCGATTTGATAAATAATTTTCTATAAGTTTGTATGTTATTCCGCGGAAACCTAAGTTTTCTAAAGTTGTTAAAAGCGATTCATGAGTAATAGAGTCGAATGCCTTTGCCAAGTCAACAAAAACACAAGCAGTTGGTTTGCCAATATCGAGATTCGTGTATATTTTATTTGTTAATTTTACAATAGCATCTTGAGCAGATTTGCCTTCTTGAAAACCATATTGCTCTCCCGCTATTAAGTTATATTTTTTTGCAAATTCGGTGAATCGTTTTTTTAACACTTTTTCAAATATTTTAGAAAAATTTGTTAAGATGGAAATTGGTCGATAGTTGATGGTTTTTCTCTTTCTCCAGATTTAAATAATGGTTTTACCATAGCGTGTTTTAAACATGAAGGGAATATTCCTTTATTCATACAAGAATTTATCAAATATGATAGTATGCCGCAGATGTTGCAATTTATTCTCTTGAGAGTATACGCTGTTATATTATCTAGACCTGGAGATTTTCTTAATTTCAATTCATGATTATTGTCTTTATTTCATGCATATCGGTTCCAGATATAATGAGTTATATAATCTGGTCTTACTATAATTTAATTTCTCTGCGTTTTTTATGCTTTCTGACAACCTTTTCCCGATTTTTGAAAAATATTCACAAAATTCATTTGCTATATCTACATCATTACTCACTAGTTCACCATTTATATGTTTTCGATTGCAAATAACATCTATGGCCTCTGGCAAGGTACGTGGCAACACCGGCTGCTGCTGATCACTGAAACCTCTTTCATCGTTGTACTGGGGGAATCTGTATTCGACTTGCTCCGCCGAAATGGCGGCCGTTTTTGACAGTGACAGGAGAGTTTCAAAGCTGATTGTTATCTAAGTTATGGTATAAGCAACGGCATTGTATAATGTTGACTGTAACTCACCTCTTGCGTGCCCAGAGGGGCTAAAGTGGAAGCAGTCGACAGCAAATAGGCTATAATCCGTTCCACCATCAGACGTTTTAGGCACTTCGTAGCCTATAGTGAAATTATGAGCAATGACAGTGAAATCTTCTAGATCGAACTCTGGCAGATCAGCTATCATTACATCGAGTTTTTGCCATTTCTTGATAATGTCACCGAAAACGCTCTGCTTAGACTTGAATCTAAGACCAAGTAAGCATTGACAATAAAAAGTGTGCATGAAGTCGCTAAAATATGGCTTATCTTTCAGTCCTGCCGCAAGTCGAGTATCTAAAAAATATGTTGTACAGGCGTTAGAGAGGATGGACGGTTTTAAAAAATTTTTTACTCGTAAACAAATTTATTGATGGAATCAGGTTTACAAGAAAATAGTATTTGAGACAGTCAAGTGTGGAAAATCACATCAGGCATGTGGTTGCCGAAATCGTTGATGCAGTGCTGGAGGCGTTCTTGGAAGTTCGCGTAGACTCTCTCCAACATCGCTCTCTCAACTTGGGCGACTTCCACGCGAATTTCGCCCTTCAATTTGTCCAGAGTTCGGGGCTTGTTCGCGTATACTCTACACTTGAGGTGTCCCCATAAGAAAAAATCGCATATGGATAAATCTGGGGACCGAGGAGGCCAATGAACATCGCCAAACCTGGTAATAAGGGGACCAGGGAAGAGAGGGCGAATAACGTTCATGGATGCTCGGGCCCTGTGGGCGGTCGCCCCATCCTGCTGTAACCACACACGTCGCCGTCGTAATTCAGGGAGAAAGAAGTTGGTGATCATGTTGACGTAGCGCTCTGAGTTTACGGTAACACCACGACCATTACCGTCTTCGAAGAAGTAAGGGCCAATGATGCAAGTTTGCGAGACAGCGCAGCAAACCGTTACTTTTGGACTGTGCAGCGGTCTTTCGTGTAACTGTTGCGGATTTTCATTAGCCCAATAACGACAAGTCTGCTGGTTAACCATGCTGTTTAGGTGAAAGAGGTATTCGTCACTCATAAACAAAATGAGGTCCTCATTTTGATCGATCAGTGATTCCATCTCACGTGCGAAGTTCATTCGTTGTGCATAATCTCCGGGCTGTAACTGTTGCACAATGGCCAATTTGTAGGGGTGAAAGCGGAGATCCATATGCAGAACTCGCCTTACCGAACGATCACTAAGGCGAAGTGCAGCAGCATGTTTCCGGGCAGATCGAGACGGACTGCTAGGAAATACCTGTCGAACGCGTTCAACATTTTCAGGAGTTCGAACTGTTCGCGGCGCTCCCCTTGGTCTTCTGTTGATCAGTTTACCACGCCTGCGAAGTGATTGAATCCAACGAAGGATGGTGTTTCGAGAGGGAACAGCTCTATTCCGATGAATGTTGAAGTGGCAACGAAACTCACGCTGTACGACGATGACTGACTCATTATTTCGGACGAAACAATCATAGGCGAAAACGCGGTGCTCCACCCGTCCAAGGCTCCATAACGACAACTGGTAAAATAATGCTAGGATCTCTCTCGTAGACGGAGGCGGAGAGTACCACCCAACCCAAAAACGTTCGTCCTCTCTGCCGCACCCTGTATAAATGTTATGACCGATATCCAATTTCTCTTATTGGTCTTATAAAAAATACACTACAGTGCCTGTGAGATCAAACAAATTTTTGTTCGAATTGAGATACGCACACCCTCTATTTCTTTTCCATTTGACTGCAACAACTCAAAAAATAAATATTGCGATCGCGGAACGATAACCCCTGTCAACTTTCGGTCAAACTTTGAATCTGAACGTTAATAGGGAAACCATGTATGTATTTTAAAACCTAATTCTTATTTGTCACAAAACACAGCCTTATCCTAGATATTTATCATTACAAGAACATCATTTACTAAATTTTCTTTCCAACGTTTTTTTTTGTTAGGATATACCTGCCTGTGTTCTTGTACACAACATAATAAAAATTGTTTTTGCTCCGCATCAGCAGTGATTAAGCCATTAACTTGACTGCTGTATCGTTAACTGCTCTCAGTGTTTGCACCTTATTCCTAGCGGGTTGAACAGAATTATTATTTGGCCATGAAGTTGGACACTCGTCGAGTAAATTGTCATCAATTTTGAGTCGACTGAACAAGGACTTGCCTTTGATTGAAACAAAGTCATCGATATTTTTCACTTAAATGAAAAAAAACGAAGAATAGCTAGCCTCTAATCATACTGGTTTTAACAGTCCGTCCGATCACAGATAGTCAACCGTGAACAGATGTTTTGTGCTTTTTGACAACTCATCAGTATCGTCTAGACTTGGCCTCAGGTCAGGAAAATGAACGAAATCATAGCAACTAACCTCTATCTGAGGTATAAGATCTATCGAAACAAAATAGTATAAGGTGCCATATATTACCAGAATCGCAGTTTACGAAGCAGTAAAAAAAAACCCTAGGAAAATGTATTCGTCAGTCTCACCATGTACCGTTTACCGTGGGGTGATGGAATTTATTTGGCTAAGTTGGCAACATTTTTTACTTTAGTTTTCTCATCTAAGTCGTCGTCAAACAGAAATCTCATTTATCAAATACCCTACAGGTTGGTAGAAGTTTTGCAAAGATGCTTTTGAAATGGTTATGTCAATTCTTTCGTAAGCCTTCATTGCATTTAAAAAGCATAAATCGTAGTTAGGTGCTTTTAGCGCCAAAGTGCATTGTAACCACGGTTTCACGTATGTCGTCACCATGAACAGGCAAATATCTAACAGAGCTGCCTTATCCTTATGAGAAAGTTGCAGCTATTTTGAATGAATAGATTACTCTGACCATCCATCGAGTTTGCTGGTGCTCGGATCTTAAATTTTTTCTCTCCCAAAACAATAGGATGTCAGGGCTTGTAGTCACTTGGTCGATTTTTAATTGAAACACGCCTTTTAACACCAATTCGTAGACGTGATGGCGGCACGCAAAAATAAGCATTTCTTTATTAAGTTTCTGTTCGAGAAGCACGCAGACACCGTTAGTGCTATGGCTAATTTCTTGTCCATCCCAGCTAAATGATCAGGTCGACCTGGCTCTCTCTACCGCTGTAAGAAGATCCTATCCTCATTTATTTTCATCAATTGAAGGGCATCGGCATGCGCAATATAAAAAAAAATTCCAAGTTCGTAACAAACTCTTGTCGACGTTGCTCAAACACATACATACAGGGTCTTCTACAGTTAGTAGTGGATCAACGGAAGTCCAGTGATAGAGAGCCTCAAAACCTATCGAATGAACCCGTATATGTGTGGTCCGAAATTTTATAGTTCAGGAGATATTTGCAATTTTGTGAAATTTTGAAAAAACGGGATAATGAACTTTTAATCGCCATCAGGTTTAGGGCTGTGATTTCAGTTTGTTACGACGAGTGTATCATGTCACATTCGTTGTTGTGATGTGATAAATGTACGAAACACAATAGAATCCTTACCACCTACAAGTACAGAACCTATTGTGTTGAGCCGCTCTTTACGGCGATTTACTGACAAATGTGGAAGATAATTTAATTTAACTAACTTTTAAAGAACATGTTCGAAATGTCCTCCATACATTTCTATATACAAGCGACACCTTCCAATAAAATTGTCCTTTAGTCTTTGAAATGAATTTGCGTTTTCCATAATTTTCATTTTGGCTTCATCAATTTTGCGCAGTTGGTTGACGTTTCTATATTCAGATGTATAGATTATCCCTTTATACAAAAATCTAGAGGATTTAACTCGGGTAACCTTGGAGGCCATCGTATGTGTTCACCTCTACCTATCCAACGCCGAGGAAAGGCACCGTCTAAGTAATGCTGTACACCCCGTGCAAAGTGGCATGGGGCACCATCGCATTGAAAATACGTGCGGCTTCGAACGTCCAAAGGTACAGCCTCTAGCAGCTCATGCAAACTGCTTTGTAGAAAATCAAGATATGACTGACCATACAACCTGGCGCCCAACTAGCTAGTAGTAGTGCTATAAGCTTTTGGTAAAAGAACCATTCAGCCATAAAAGCTCGCTATTGTTGTTGTCTGAACACCGAAATGCTGGCTTAATGTTGTGTGGAATGCAAATTTGCTTTCTGCAACATATTTGCTCTAAAATGAGGTGTTTAAAATATTCTTATAGCATAGTTACACAACACCTTATAGGACAAATTTTTTACTGCTGCATAAACGTTTATACAACTATTTTATACGGCATATTTGTAGGTTACTCAAAATGGTTGTTGTGGCATCCATGGTAACGTTTATAAAACAAACCCGAGCCTTGTTGTTTTGCTGTGCACATTTACTACTTTAGCCAATAAATTGCTCCCAACGGAAGCACTTATACATCTGTTGTTTAGTAACTGTTAAAGGCTGTACATATGCTAAATATGTTGGTATACAACTTCACCATAACCTAACTTTCTGCTGTCGTATTTTAGTTAAAATGCCATAACCAATGTGTTAAGACAAATAACGCATGGATATTGGTTAAAAAGGTTTTATCAACTGTTCAAACAGAAGATATAGATCTGGTACAAATTCTAGGTAAATCATGCGACTCTGTCGGTATTTCATTTCTGACATTTGTCAAATTGTTGTATAACACCTGCAGGCAACACCAAAATATTCTAATAAACTATAAAGACAACATGGACGATGCCATGATTATACACAACCACCCGCCATATTGGGCAAACATTTATTACTCTATTTGATATTAAATAATTATGTTTCAGTTCGAAATTACAGATATAAAGTGATAAACATTAGTGTAATTGTGTCTAAATATAGGATTTGTGGAAGATTTAACGCAGATAAGTTCAGTTTTCCATCTTAAAAATCTAGACATACTTTTGATCATTATCAAAATATGAATCAAATACGAAGCCCGTAGAAATTGCGTAACTACTTTGCACAATAATCACAATAAAATTTGCTGCGCAAGTAATTCAATAGCCCTATATCACAGTGTAGAAGTTTATCATATACCTGTGTATGAAATTCACAATGGCCGATATGTAAGTAAACAAGATGACTGTAATGTGTTAGTTATAGATTCTTCACTTCGTCTATACAATACATAAGAAATAGTTTGGTTGCAATAAAGTAGAATCACGTAACAGAATAGTTGTATAGTTGACAAAAACTGAATTTTGCACTGACGCAATGTCCTATAGCAGCTGCAAGAGGCTTACACTTT